ATATTTTTTCAAATTATTTAAAGTGTGTTTTCACTTGTGCAGTCAAATGTGAGAAACTGCCATGATAAGTTTATGTGCTCCCATTCTAACAGCATATCTAAAAATATAAACAAAACAAATAAAGATTTCTTACCTTCTAATTTTACAAATTTGGAGCAGGGTTATACGCAGGACTGCAAGCTATTCTGAATAATTTCAGAGCAGCAATGTGGGGACAAAGTGAGTTTCCTCTCATTAACATACAATGTAAAATCCAAGCCCTGAGATCTTTAACCCTTTGTTACCACAGGCAGTGTTGAAATCTATTGAAAATAGAAACATTGGGCTTTTAAGGTACTCAGTGCAACACCAGATTTCATAGTTTGATAAAAACCTAAGATTTTATTCATTACAAAAGTTAAAATATAGTAAAATACATGTATGTACACAAAATATTAAAAACAAACCCACTCCTACAGATAAATGGTCATATCTCCCGTAATCCCACACACGGATGTGTATAGGCACATAATATGAGTGTATTACAACTTTCACAAGGGAATTTCATAAGGAGTCTGTATATGGAATACTGTGGTGTGTGTTCTTGACGCGTTTCGCCTCCAAAGATACACTTGAAGTTGCCACAAGTGGTGTTGTAAATGGCAGGCTTTATAATTATCAACTGCTATTACATCATAGATTTTATATATGTAGTTTTCAGCTATAGAAGAACTAAAGGTTCCAGGGTGCTTGTCTGCATGGCCCGTGTACAACAATGTAAGGGCACACGGGGTGATACAGCCATTGGATAGAGTACTTTGTCGGATCTTAAAAGCATATACACATCATTTTACCCCCTAGCTTTGAATTCATGTACTTTTCAACTCCTGCATCAGAAGATTTGGTAGAGCTGTGGGTGGGTGTATCTCCCTGCAATGGTCACATCATATTATCACCTGTGCTGTCATGCATCATCTTACTCTCTGTGACTAGCCAAGCACTGCCTGCTCCTACAATAACTCTAGCGTGTAAATTGTTATCAGGTTAGACTTAGCAGACATTTGCAGTATCCTATAACACTGTTTTGGTGTCTCTTGTTTCAATCCCATATTCCTTCGTTCTTACCCCCTACGTATTGTTTAATACCCCTATAACCCTGGCCTCTATTATCACTAAATATTTTCAGCTAGCAGCTCAGACACAAGATGTTCTAGTTCCTGAGCTTGTCCCAACATGTTTGTCTGTCATCTAGCCAGATAAAAAAAGCTAATGACTCAGAGTGAACCTTATGATGTGTCTATGCAGCAATAAGAATGTTAAATATTGGCTATCCACAGTTGCACCTCACTACCTCAATTGGGAAGTACATATTAGTAATGCATCTATACTTTGTATGTGTGTGCAGTAAAAATATATTTATTCAGTTACATTGCTAACACTGTCATGAGTTATACTAGATACACAGAGCTATTTATTATATGGCTGTTTGTTTGTAAAAATGACACAGGCCACCCAGATGGCTATGTGGTATGCAGGGATTAGAGCTCATCGATGCTTTGCTAAGTGCTGCATACACTAAAAATCTTAGAGCATCAGAGGTGTGTTCCCTGTTGTGCTGATTCAATAATGTATTGCAAAGCTGAAGTGCAATTTACAATTATCTGCAGATTTCACAAGTGGTGAAAGGTTCCTCTGGGTCACTGTGCAATGGATTTGCTTTTTGCCCTGCTGAATTAGCCTGTAAGTTTGTGAGTGCTAAACCTGCGAGTGCTGAGCCAGTTGTCAGTGTAATGTCTAATGTGTCAGACTTAAAATGTATTTCCACATTTGCATCGAATTTGGGATAACACATACTTCAGAGTTGTTACGTGTTCCCATTCACATAGCAGTTTTAAAAAATACTTAAAAATGGGTGTTTACCATTTCACTTACTCATTTCTAAAAACTCTAAAACTGAAGTTTTTCCATTCTCTATAATTTCAAGGAGGGAGCTGGAGAGTTATTTTTCACCATCCGTGCTGTGATAGCAGATCTTATAATCATTTGTAGATTGGAACACCGTCTGTCCTAACAAAGGGTTAAAGATTGAGAAGCTTTGCTTCTTGTATTCTATGTTAATGAGAAGAAACTTCTTCTGTCCCTACTTTGTCTTGGGGACAGACTTACTTTAAAATTGTTCAAAGTAGCTTGCAATCTTACCACTGGCCTGCTACACATAAACATCTGAAAGGTAAGAAATTATTTTAATTATTTTTAGTTATGCTGCGTGAATGGGAAACACATAAATATGTAGAGGGGTTTTTCTCCTATTTGACTACATAATGGAAATAAACTTTAAGGATTCATCTCTTCCTAGTATGTCGCTGCAAATGTAGTCTGCAAATGTAGCTGTGGTATCAGGTCTCTCTTCTGTGGGCTGTACAACCTGAAGGAGAATAGGGGTAAAGAAGGGCACAGTTTGTAAAGGGTTTAAATCATGTTCAGAAGGAAGCATTTTCCAAGGTGTATTGAACAGAGGAACAAGGGGACACTGTGTAAAACTGGCAGACAGAAAGGTCAGTTGTAACCTTAGAAAGTATTATTTTACTGCCCAACTAATACGTTGCTGTGATAGAGAAATGAACAGTAGCTAAATGGAAACACGTTTTGGATATGCACATGTCTGTTTTAGGACAATGATATTAAAGATGAACTCCAGCCAAAAATTATTTTTGTATTATTGCACAATAAAAATAAATTACTGTTAATGAAGTGTGTCCCATCTCTGATCACTGCAGAGTTCTTTAAATCTCTTTCTTTCATTCAGCCTGCACTCGCTCTGAGAGTTCCAGCTGCACTACAGTGCTGGCTGTACCCTATTCTACATTCAAAAAAAGCCTTCCATTTTTTTTTTTATCAATGCAAGGCATTTTGTGATTGGAGGGGAAAGTTTTGACTGGAGATCGGGTTTAACCAGTAACTGGGCAGTATTGATTGGTTACAGGTCTAGGTTCAGCAACAACATGTCCCCAAAAAATGAGGTCAGCTGACTATACGGCATGACCACGTTTTTCTATCAATGGATTTTTTCTTCCCTGATGGAACGGTCATATTGCAAGTTGCTCAAATTGTGGAAAAGTGCTTCAGGGAGCATGAATCATAATTTTCACACATGTATTGGCCACCACAGACTTAAACCCCATTGAGAATGTTTGGGATGTGCTGGAGAAGACTTCACACAGTGGTCCGACTTTCTCATTATCACAAGATCTTGGTGAAACATTAATGGAAATAAATGTGACACTGCATAAGCTTACCACATGCCACAGTGAATGCCACAGTGAATGCATGCCAAAATTAAAGCTAAAGGCAGTCCAACAAAATATTAAAGTGTGTGACTTTTTTTTATTGGCCAGGCACTGTGTGTTTATGTATGTATATATATATCTATATATATATATAGATATATATATACATACATACATACATACATAAACACACAGTGCCTGGCCAATAAAAAAAAGTCACACACTTTAATATTTTGTTGGACTGCCTTTAGCTTTAATTTTGGCATGCATTCACTGTGGCATTCACTGTGGCATGTGGTAAGCTTATGCAGTGTCACATTTATTTCCATTAATGTTTCACCAAGATCTTGTGATAATGAGAAAGTCGGACCACTGTGTGAAGTCTTCTCCAGCACATCCCAAACATTCTCAATGGGGTTTAAGTCTGTGGTGGCCAATACATGTGTGAAAATTATGATTCATGCTCCCTGAAGCACTTTTCCACAATTTGAGCATCTTGCAATATGACCGTTCCATCAGGGAAGAAAAAATCCATTGATAGAAAAACGTGGTCATGCCGTATAGTCAGCTGACCTCATTTTTTGGGGACATGTTGTTGCTGAACCTAGACCTGTAACCAATCAATACTGCCCAGTTACTGGTTAAACCCGATCTCCAGTCAAAACTTTCCCCTCCAATCACAAAATGCCTTGCATTGATAAAAAAAAAAAATGGAAGGCTTTTTTTGAATGTAGAATAGGGTACAGCCAGCACTGTAGTGCAGCTGGAACTCTCAGAGCGAGTGCAGGCTGAATGAAAGAAAGAGATTTAAAGAACTCTGCAGTGATCAGAGATGGGACACACTTCATTAACAGTAATTTATTTTTATTGTGCAATAATACAAAAATAATTTTTGGCTGGAGTTCATCTTTAATATCATTGTCCTAAAACAGACATGTGCATATCCAAAACGTGTTTCCATTTAGCTACTGTTCATTTCTCTATCACAGCAACGTATTAGTTGGGCAGTAAAATAATACTTTCTAAGGTTACAACTGACCTTTCTGTCTGCCAGTTTTACACAGTGTCCCCTTGTTCCTCTGTTCAATACACCTTGGAAAATGCTTCCTTCTGAACATGATTTAAACCCTTTACAAACTGTGCCCTTCTTTACCCCTATTCTCCTTCAGGTTGTACAGCCCACAGAAGAGAGACCTGATACCACAGCTACATTTGCAGACTACATTTGCAGCGACATACTAGGAAGAGATGAATCCTTAAAGTTTATTTCCATTATGTAGTCAAATAGGAGAAAAACCCCTCTACATATTTATGTGTTTCCCATTCACGCAGCATAACTAAAAATAATTAAAATAATTTCTTACCTTTCAGATGTTTATGTGTAGCAGGCCAGTGG